TTGGAATTCTATAGTGTAAAGGTAGGCTAACACCTTTCCAAAAATAGAATCTTTTAAAATTTCTTTAAGCATAGAGCGTAACTTCAAATTAAAAACACGGATGATGAGATCAGGCCTATCCTGGGCTGTTTGACCTGAAAGAAGAGAATTAGTAATTTCGGGCCATTGTGGATTGCACATTATAGTAACAAAAAGATCAGGTTTTTCATATGCTCTCACGATAGCCATTGCATCCTGATAAAGTTGATGCATATGTCGAGGCCCTCTAGTGAAGCTTAACGGCAAAATTATCTGTTGTCCTAAATTTGTAGTTGTAGTTGAATTATCTCTCGCAAGCATTGCATCTTGCAATTCACTATATAATTCTGAATGTATTTTGTCTTGATTATATCTTAAGTAATTAAGATGCATTTGTTCTACTGTGGCATACATATCAACAATCCACTGCTAGAAAAGGTGTCCGAATAGATGTAAAACTACTGCTTCATTTGGTCGACCTAAATGAAGCCAATAGGCAAAATAATTCATAGCACTAACATATTTTTTTGTAACACTTACCTGATCAGCATTATCAAATGAAAAAAATTCAGCATCTACAGATTCTTGTGTAGATGTAGAAAAAGATGTTTGTACTGTAAGAATATAGAGATATCATCTGTCTTCACCTCTTGGAAACATAAGAACATAATGCAATGGTTGATAAGCATGATGTAATTCCGAAATCCTTTTTAATGGTCCTTCACATAGCTGTAGTATAATATCACATTGCATTGGTTCAGAATTTTGTCCATCTCCAATCATAATTACAGCAACTTCTAAAGCAGTTGGAGTATTGTATCGTCTAGGATCTTCTTTTCTATTATCTGTAATTGCTATTCGTAAGTTTAATAAAGGATTTGCTAGTAGCATATGCCCAGCTTGTTTAAATATGTTACAATAAGGATTCAAATCATGTAACATTTGTTGAAGCTCCCCAAGAATAACGGGGTCAAGACCAGGCATTATATTCATTCTATTTCGTAATTCATGCTCAGTATCATAGATATACAATTGGGTGATTTCAGGACGATTATCATTATCAGAAAATAAGCTGCCTATACTATGATACATTTCACTATGAATGCGAAAGCTATAAACCCCACTCGTACCAGTTATGCTGTGATCAATATTAGCACCTAGAGATGTAAATGATAATGCTGAATTATACATTCTAATATTCTGTTTAAATAATCTAGCTCTTTGATCAGTCCTTGTAAGAAGCATATTTAAAGAAGAAGGTAGTTTCTGAAGAGGAGGAAGAAGAATCTTTCCTCCAGCACAGCAAGTTGTAAAAACTGGTGATCATGTAGAGGAATTTAATAACCTTTCATCTATCCATAATAGAGCGTGACATTTGCGACATCTATGTTTCATACTTCCTAGAGTATGATGATTCAAACCAACTGAAGTCTAAGGATAGATCCGTGCTTTTGGAACTCACACAGAAACTCGAAAAGGGACTCCAACAGGTTCTGGAGGGAAAACTAAACTTCGATCGGCAAGAGTTTGTGTTTTATTCTCACAAGTGGTGCTAAAATCGGGATGCAATGAAGAAGAGGGTATAAGATTAGTAATTTTATTAGGCATACTTATGATATTTGCTGTTTGTATAAAAGTTGAAATTGTAGCGAGCTGTTCTTTTCTTCCAAAATTGTATAATGCTACTGGCATTTCTTTTTCTACATGTAAGAGGTCATTAGTGGCATGTGCATAAATTGTATGATTTTTATTAGTAAAGCTAGTATTATTTTCTTTAGAAGTTTTTAGTTTTCTTTTTTTATTAATACAATAATGTTGTTGACGTTCACGGTTAAGTCATTTTTTTCAGACTTCAGCAGTCATATCTATAGTTTTATTAAAAAAAAATAATTGGGGAACATATGTTTAATATTAAATATAACTATGTAGAAATTCTCCTATAGAACAAAAAAAAATAATGTGAAAATAAGAAAAGGCTACAATAGTATAGATGGTTAAGTAAAACCGAACATATATCTTTTTATCATCAGGTAAAAGTAGAACTTCAATGTGATAGTTAAGTTTCAATCATAGATCACATAAAATGGAACGTAATTAGAAGTTATACAAAACAAAAATAGTAGAAATTAAACGTGAAAAATTGGGTGTCACAAAAAAATTGGATGCATTGTGACATATCATGACATATAATACAAATATATTTTTTTATATAGAATAATCTAAACGTTACACTCATGTAAAACTACCAATTTTCATAGTATAGATAATAATAATTAGCTAAGTTTTATTTTATTATTAATATTTCTCATTGTAATTTAAATTTACAAATAATATATATATAATATAATATTACTTTTGCTTATATTATATAAACAATTATTATGTTTTGTTTTAATTGAAAAAAAAGAATTATCTAAAATTAATATATATTAATTAAAATTATTAAATTTTCTAAATCATTGCTTATTGTTACATTCTTTATCTTCTTTTATTGCTATTTCTTACTTAGATTTTTATAATAAATATATTGCAAATTTATATTTTCTTATATATTTTATTTTCTTTTTACTTTTTCTTTTTTTCTATCTATTTTTTTATTTTTTTAAATCTAAGAAACAAAATCCTGTTCAGGTTCTGGTGTTCTAACATCTTTTTTTATTTTTATTTTTTACTATTTTTATTATTTCACTATTTTTTATTATACTTACTATTTTTATATTTTTCTTATATTCACTTATAATTATTTATTTACACTTTTTCTTTATATTTATTTTTTAAACTTTTTCTATTTTCTAAAATGCATTAACATTGTAAACATTGTATTTAGAAATTTTTAAAATCATTTGCTCTAATTCAACATATATTTCAAAGTTACTCTTATATATCAAAAATATCAAATTAAGTTATTTTCTCTAAATAATTAGAAAATAATATTTAGCAACTTTCAGAATATAGCATTTTTTAATATAGTTTTAATGAATTTATAATTTATTCCTTAATTTGTAAGTTTTTCTAGGCAAATTTGTCTAGAAAATTGGTAAAAATATGCTTATGATCTATATTTTTTATATTTTAAAATACTTAAATAAAATTTTATTTAATAATATTTGAAAATAAGAATTATATTATAGCAGTATTTAATTTTATATTATAAAA